TAAGTATTAAACTCTTTATTTTAACTTTAAGCTCTCTACATTTAATTTAGTGAGTATATGAAGGGCTCATATAGTTATGACAGTTAAGTTGTTTAATTTATAGATTATTTATTCCCATATATTTAATTCCCACCTCCACATGAACTCTAATCCATAATTTTTTTCATATTTTAGGTAAAGGGATTCTCAAAGTACTTAAATTGTTCTGAAAATTCTTCCATTCTATTAAACCAATTTGATGATACCTTGCTCCAGTCCATAACCCACTATTTTTTATTTGTGGTTAATGAGGATAACTAGGTCAATAGATTTTGGATAATAATTTTATATCTTGGCTTCTCTTCAAACTATAGCTTATCGCAATATTTGATAAGGCATCTTATTGAACCTGCAATATTATTTATTAAAGATTAATTACTTACAGGTTTGGCTCTTCATTTTAATTAAACTATGAAAATCCTACTTAGCCTTTCTCACTTAATCAAAAGACATCTATTTTATTTTTCCGTCCCCTTATTTTATAACCCATGGAAGCGAACCATCTTTTAAATAGAGTAGCAAATAAAATATTGATAAGAGATCATCTTTTCTAGAAGGACCTAATTCAATAATTTAACCAAAGCAATTATTGATTTTTATTACTTACTGTGGCCAAGCATTTGATAAATGCTGCTAAAGACAAAATTACCGTTGAATGTAGATTATCTTTCATTTTAGACATGCTAGCCATTTTCACAAAGATAACTCTGAGATGCACTGAAGTCAATTAAACTTATTAACGATGATTCAGGAGATGAATAATCAAAGCTTCGTAGCAAAATATTATCTGGCTTCAAATCTCTGTGAACAAACCCTATTTTATGGAGCTGTTTAATTATGGAAACCTAGTATTTAAATAAATATGCATTAATATATCTTACCAGTTAAATGCCTAGTTAGAGCATTGTTTGAGTAGAAATTCTATGTTTTGAATGTTATAATATTTTCTTCAAAGAGGGTCCTAAAACTTCTATAGCTAGATAACCTCTTCTAAAATTGTCGATTCTAGAACTGAGGAATCTTGGAAATCCTATAAAAGAAGATAAGTTAATAATTAAATCTAGTACCAATAGACTCTGTCCTATGTAGGAGCTTGTAAACCTTCTCTTCAATTCGAAATTCCTGGCATAAATTCTCCTAGATTATGTTAAAAATAATTTGTGCAATTATTACAATCTTCACTGCGCATTTCTAATGAGTACTTTAATCTATAGCTAACCAAACTGAGCCAGTCGAACCTTAGCCAATTTCTCTAACTAATTGAAATTTGTTCTCTATCATCAGATAATTAATTTTATTATATTATATCG